ATCAAACGAATAAAGTGAAAATATTGATTTGGGGATTTTTTTAAAATTGGCTAAACATAAGAAAAACATCTCTACGATGAATCTGGTGACCAGAATATATTGTGAGTCGCCAAAAACTACACTTTATAGTAACCCAAGATACAATCTGGTCACCAGATTCATCGTAGAGATGTTTTTCTTATGTTTAGCCAATTTAAAAAAAATCCCCAAATCAATATTTTCGCTTTATTCGTTTGATTACCCCAAATGGAGATTTTATTTGGGGATTGATTTGTGGTAACCAGTTTTGGGGTAAATGATAGGCATTCAAAAGTAGTTGTCATATTTGTTACATAATTCAATATTGAGTGAAAAATCACTTTCTGATCACCCGAACATAAATTGAACACAATGATCATGCTAGAAACTTTTATTCTAGAGTTGAGGCTGTGTAGTACGAGAAGCAAGATGCGATTAAATTACAGCATACACAGTGTATCTCATGATACAAAAATCCCGAAATTAAAATCCCCATTTGGTTACCAGAATTGTTTTATCATCCCCAAATGGGGATTTTTTTGGGGATCAATTTGGAGCAAATGATAACCTACCGCAATAGTAGCTTCATATGTTGTAGTCTGTTTTGTTTTCCGTTATTCATGCATCACACTGTTATTTTTACTTTTCCCTTACCAACTCGTTTCCGTCGCTCACTTGGTGCAAACCCGAGTAGATCGACAGCATAGAAGAAGAAAAGACTGAAATATTCACTTTCATTCGTTTTCATGTCTGTTCTCTATTGACGCTACAGCTGGAAATGCAATGGTATTAACTGAAAAATGACAGCAAACGAATTTTTTGACTCAATTTAACTATTCTTCTAGAACCTTGGTGTACGTTACAATAAATGGAGACGAAAAGGAACGACGCATACAAGAGATTGAGGAGTTTCTAATGGACGGTACAATTATGTGTGGATTGGTACTTGATTTCAACTCAAACATCAATCAATAATATTATGATCAGTTTTCTCTAGAAACTTTCTAAATAGTACATAAAGTGAAATTTCTATTACCAATCTAAGAAAACGATGAATCTAGAATTGATACTAATTAGTCTTCTGAAGGATCATGGAGCATAAAAATTATCGAAATTAATTGATTATTACACATTTGAGAAGTAGATTTATGATTATAATCTTCAAAATGATTGGCATTCTAATTCTTTTACGACACAGTATGATTATTATCTTTTCCTACTAATATGCTCGTACTAGTATTTTTCCTTTTACAATCCTTCAGGTGACGAATGAAAACTTTCTGAGTGTTGATGAATTTCGATTTATAAACAAAAATTTACTACCAAAGATTATTTTATTATCAATTGATAGCCATTTCATACAGTGCAAGATGTAACGTCGATAGAAGTAGATATCTAAATAGTAACTAGAGTCGTTCCTAAATACGAAAAGTTAACTTCTAACGCAAATTCTTACGATTAATGGCTGTCGCCGCAGTGACGGAGTTACACAAATCAAATATATAGAAATTTTTGATTCTTGACCATCGAATTTCTGAATATGTACCAATAAATAGCAATAATAACTCAGTAAATTCGAATTCTAATGGTATGGATATAACAACAGATAATCAATGCAATGCCGACAATGTAAATCAAAATAATAGTAGGCCATCCATGAAATAATTTTCCTAATCTTATATTTTTCTATAAAAATTCTAACTAATATATTAGATACTGAAGAAAATCATCAAAATTTACAAACATTAACAACAGGTAAAAGTCTTCCCTAATCGGCTCTCCCCCAACGACTCCCCGAGGAGTCCCCGTAAAATAACGAAATCCCTGGGGAGTCCCTGTCGTGAGTCCCCGGGGACTTTTATTTAGGGGACTCCCTGGGGATTCTTCTAGGGAGAGTTGACTAGGGTTTTATTTTATTTTATTTTACTTAACAGAACACCGAAGGATCCTAAATAAAATACTGAACGGCATTGTTACTCGAGAAAATTTGGAAGCTCCCTATTTCATATAAAAAATTATTATAGCCACTAAAAAGCCATGCATAAGATACAGATGTGAAATATAATCTCGTCTATTACTATTTAGAATGAGATTTTTTAACAGCATGTTGTTCTGATAATATGAATTACTCTATCACTCGTTACGTAAATAAAATATGACAGTATGTATAAGCAGAATTAGCTGATAATATTTGGTAGTTTCGAAGAAGATAGATTTGGTCTTATTGATATTGAATTAAAAGTGACCGAAAACAATTCGTTGTAATAAATGTTGATAATTTGAAACTGATGGCCTGATACTCCTACTGATTTATTTCGTCGTATTCCTCTTTGTAAATGTACATTTCATTTTCAATAAGGTTAACCCTTTCGACATGATGATAGCTCCGGTCACGTGCATCCTTTGGGTATAGAAGTTCGTTCTGAGTATTCTAATAGATTATTGTGAAACATTTTATATAAAGGGTGTTAGCTAAGTTCTGATTCCCTTATTAATTTTTCTTTTTTCACGTCATTGTTTGATTTGAAACGCTGATATTTACAGTACATATCCACGATATGAAGACCTATTATGTACCAAAATTTGGGCTTTATANGTCTCTATCTTGTTCCTATCAAGAGTTATTTAAAACACATCCACCTGCCTTGACTTCTGGCGCCGACAGTAGTATATTAGAAGCAGACACAAGATAATTTTACAGAATATTTTTTATTCAAACGAACTTTTTGATTTTTTAATTGGTTTTCGACTAAGACCAGTTCGGTTATTTACTGTAATCAAGTTGTCAAAACTGCTCGATATGAATGAAAAATTTTTCGTTTTGTCTTTTCTGATACTTTAATCCTGATATTAATAAAGAGTATAAAGCCCAAATTTTGCTACATAACAGGACTTCATATCATGGATATGTACCTGTAAATATCAGCGTTTCAAATCAAACAATGACGTGAAAAAAGAAAAATTAATAAAGGAATCAGAACTTAGCTAACATCCTTTATGCATATACTATGTAGGTGAACAACAGATGAGCGCACTTCATTACTGTCGTCAAGTCTCAAAAGAAATAACCTTGGCTATTGACGCCATGAAGCCAGTCTTTAAAAGCTTGGCTATTTCTAGTGAATTGGGAGGATTGTTGTATTATATTTATAAGAAAAGAAAAACTCATTCATGCTAAAAATTTACTCTAGATGCCTATTTAAAAGCTCTTGCAATTTCTTCGTACAATGGCGTTGATACAAATGCTCGAAAACCACTGACAAAATTATTAAATAGTTTTCAATTAACATCGGAAATATTACCATTATTTCGTCAAATAAACGATAAAGATGATCATAACAGTGCATTTGTCACAGGACAAGAGATCAATGAAACATATGAAAAAACAATTACAGGTATTTTTTTTAAATTTCATTCTCCTTCTTCAGTCATCGCGTTTACTTAAAAGCAAATAGCGCCGAGTGAATAGGGAGATTCAAGCAGAAATACACTCGAATCTATCAACAAGTACTGCTTCAAAAGATTTTTATCCAACGACGTTACCATCAACTTTATCACAATTATGATCGCAAGCATGCACTTATGCTAAAGCAATAATATCAGCTAAACTAGAAATTTCTGAACAACCGCAGAAATTTTGGAGAAAACGTACTATTAATTGTTTAAAGAAAAAATGGTGTCCAGTTATTCAAGGACGAAGTGGCAAACAACGGCATTACATTGGCATACAAGTAGGATTGAAAATTTAGTATTTGATCAATCTGCATGCTTTTTTTTCTATTGAATTTATATGTAGTGGTCAAAATTAATAGATTTTAATTCAAATAATTTGTTCGTTTTTGTTCAATTACTATCCTACGATAATCAATCGCAGCAATCAAAAATCTTAGTACCACCGGATACGACAGCCAAATCATTAAAACAATCGGGAAAAGAGAAAAAAATAAAAAGTAGACGTCAAACAATTAGTGACTTAGTTATTCAAGACATATACGGCTTTGATAAACTGACCAATACAATTCTGTGTCCTATATCTGAAAAAGAATATAACCGATGTAAAAAAGAGTGAGTTATATATTTGCACGAATAAACATAATAAAAAGGGAATTTTGTTTTTTAAATTTAGCTTAAAATTAATCATGCTCAGTTTATGTAAAGAAACTGACGATGATGATGATCATCGAATTTCAATTACAGAAATTGTGTAAACTTCGTATTTGTCTTTGTCAACGAACATGTAGTAATACATTAGAATACATATCTAACTTTATCGATACAGAATGGATCGAAGAAAGTAAGTTCGCTGTGATACGATATAAGAATAAGCAAAAGTGTCTCCAAAGTTACTATTCAATGAAAAAATCTTTCTTTTTCTATTTGCGGAACATAAAATTTTTTCTAGAATATAAATCTGGATAAGGAAAAATAATAACAGTCATATGTTACGTTTTTACTGGACAAAATAAAAATCCACGTTTACATTGAGTTCAATAATATTAGTCTAAATCTGATAATCGAAAAATTAGTTTTCTTTTATAGGTAAAGGTAAGAAATCGTTAGCCATTGATCCAATGAACATAATTCCAAAAAGACTTTACACATGTGATAATCAATGCAATTGAATACAGATAGTGAAAAAAATGGTGAAGATTTCTTTCATATTCTCTATACGATTGATACTTGAAAATTATTCATTTAGGTTTTATTGTATGTTTGAATGATGAAAAATTAAGTTTATCTCAAGTTCATGGAGTCAGAGATAAACAAATTTCTTTCAAGTCACGCCCGAATATAATACCGAAACAAGATGCTTTAAATATTATAATTTCGACAGAAAGCATTTCGGAAACAATCAAACAAAATCACGATCCATATAATGGTCTTGATGAAGATACTCTTCTAAATTTTTCTATTCCCTATATTGAAAATAGTGAGTAAACATGACTTCTTTAAAAAATAACGGAGACAATATGATTTATTTTAGATGAAACCCACATGGACCATACAAGTTCTATTATATAACTTGCGATTGAATCGAGTTGTCCTACAACTTTACGAAAACAAATCTTTCCTTGTGTTCGTCGTTTTTTCTCGTGTAATTTTATACACGAATAGAAACAATTCTCATTAAATTAAGTAGACGAATGTATTGGCTTTAAAAAAATAGAATCTCTGTGATATTTGCACTGCAATTTCAATCATGAGATTTGAAAACTCGATTGTCATCTATGTAACCAGCAGTGTGTGTTGATTAAAAAAAACTCTGTTGGCATAAATCTCAGTTTTTATAGCTGAACAAATTGATCATCATGGTATTGATCGTTTTGTCCTCTGCTAATTTTATTTGAGAAACTCATTTGTTCTCATCTTTAGAGGTAATAACAGAAAGTTATTATTGAAGAAGTTTGCAAAATTTAAAATCTGATCACTCGAGACTGTATCTCAATCGAGTCTTAAATATTTATAATACCATATCCATAGCGCATTTTCAACATTAATACTGTGTATGTACAGAAGACAATTTTTTGTTTTCCATTCGCATTATCTACTATCGTTCCTGTTGTGAATATGTAGAATCAAAAATAAGACGAATTGAAAGCTTTAAATACACCCGAACAATAGCTTACCGTAATTTGACGGATCCTCTAATTGACACTAATGAGCGAACATTGTTATAAGCTTATGTTGCACTGAAAATAAGTGGGCAATTGATGCAGAAGAAAAATCTATACTCAGAGACCTTCGCTGAGTAAAACCGTTATTTATTTAACTAGACTAACGAGTAGCGACATCTAATATAAAAACAAAGAAATAGAGGTAACAGCTCATTGGATATGAGTTTTCGTTCATAGCTTGGTTCGGCTCGGCTCGGCTCGGCTCAGCTCGTTCTCCTTCTCTATCATCAATTCTCGTCTTCATTATAGCTATTGCTCATTTGCATGTACTAAAATATCTCATCCTCACTCGGTAGTCATCTCGTCATCTTCTTCACATTCACTTTTTTTTTCGTTCGCGTTAACTGAACAAACAAAGCAACGTCTTCTATACTTCGTATGCATCTATTTTTTCTCCTCCTGTCTCATTATTTTCGTGTTGTTGAATTACATATGAGTATACTGATATCTTCATTTGTCAGTTTGTTTTCTAGAAAATGTCTACGACAAATGGTAATAACGATTTACGAGTACACATTTCATTATTCGAACGGGATGCTGTTAAACTCATTCTTGATTTTCTTCAACAACGTGAACTTTACATTAGTATGCTTGATGTCGAACGTGAAACAGGTACCTATCAAAAAGCTATTAAATCTATTCATATCTGGTTTTACTCGTATTTTAAAACGATGTCTGTTTACTTTCAGGCATAATTAATGGATCGTATTCAGAAGATATACTTTTCTTGCGGCAACTTATATTAGATGGACAATGGGATGATGTTATTGATTTTATTCAACCATTGAAAACTATTGATTCATTTGATGCGAAACAATTTATTTATATTGTTTTAAAATATCAATTTCTGGAATTATTATGTTTAAAAACTGAAGCACAAGTTGAAAATGATTTATCAGCTGAACAAATAGTCAAGTAAATTAAGGTTATTTTGTTGAGCAAAAAATATTTTTTTCTTTTATTAGATTTCTAAATGATTTACGACCATTTGCTCCAAACGAGCAAGAATATAAGAAATTATCTTTTTTACTTACACTCAAACGTTTACAAGATCATACGGATTACCGTAATTGGAATCCTAGTGCTGGCCGTGTGCAATGCTTCTATGAAGTCTTTCCGTTAGTTCATCGATTTCTCCAAGTAAGAATAAACAATTTTCCAGGATATTATTTATTCGCTTGAAAATTTTTGTATGTTGACAATTGCTAGTCTTTTTATTCTAGTTAGATAAACTAATGACACCAATAGCACAAGGTGATCGTCTTATTCAATTGCTTATTAAAGGTCTTCTCTACGAATCGTGTGTTGAACATTGCCAAGCACGTGCTACAAGCACAGATGAAACCATTGATCTTACCGATCCAAATAGTTTATTGTCTAATACACGTTTATCAGATACTGATGTTTCTCTTCTTTCATGGTTACACGCGTTGCCCACGGAAACATTTTCATGTCCATTCGAACAAAAATCTTTAGCATTAAGTATCGATCGATTACAAAAACCTACTCTCGAAGCAACATGGGCTGAACATGTTTTAAGTACACCATTTAAACCTCAAACAATGTTTCCATTTAATGCAACACCAACAGGTAAACCACGTTCAACTGAACTAATGTCACGTTCATTAGCACCGCAATATGATGGTTTATCTTATGGTCTTATACGTTCACAAATATTCGGAGATTATAATCGTAATTTTGTGAATGATATGAGTCGTTCATTGGCACTATGTAATCTGAAAGACAATGGAGTTAATAATGCAATAACATCAACAATTTTACCAACAGTTGAAGAAGTTCTCTATGAAGAAACTCCTCCACCATTAACACCACCACGTACATTATCTCCAGCAGTAAATAAAGTATCTCCACAAAATTCTTATCAATCAGAATCACCATTAAAACGGCATGTAATAAATTCACCAACTAAATCAACAAATGAAAATGAAAATGAAAATCGATCATCAACTAGTGACCCATCAGCCGATCGTTTACTTAAAGTAAGTGTTGATTTGTATTGATTTATTTTTAAATATCCTATGATTTTAAGGAATATCAAAAAAGTCGAGCAGAATTTACAAAACAATTCGATGAACATGAAATTCAAAGAAACGAAATACAAAAAAAAATTAGTAAGATTAATCAATTTTATTAGACAAAATCGAAATCGTTTTTCTTTAGCAGCTAATCCAAAAATACGTGCTATCAACGATATTACAAAATATGATTCGCTTGAAGTAGATTTTTCTTTTAAAAAAAGATTTCAAATTTTTTTGGTTTTAAATTTAGGATATAACACGTTCGCCAGCATTTATACCATTAGCAACAATTGAGGATGTTCAAGCAATACGATCCGTTGATGTTCATCCGAGTGGAAAATATTTTGCTGTTGGTTCAAATTCTAAAATGCTTCGTGTTTGTGCTTATCCAGATATAAAAAATATTCGTACGGATTCGTTACCGAATCAAGCTAAAGTTTTATATAAGAAAGGTAAACATCATTTGGGAAGTATTTATTGTATGGGATGGTCGCCAAGTGGAAAAATTATTGCAACTGGATCTAATGATAAACTTATTAAACTTGTTCGACTCGACATGGATAAACCAGAAGATGAATCAAATAGTACATTATTAATCATAAATCAAAATTATGTTGATTTTTTTTTCTCTCTCTCTCATTTAGATACAGAAATCGAACTCACTCATCATACTGGCACAGTTCGAGATCTTATTTTTATGCATGATAATTCAAAAGATGATTCGATTTTATTGAGTGGTGGTGCAGGTGATTGTAAAGTTTATGTTACTGATACAAGAAAAAAAATACCCATTAAAAGTTACAGTGGTCATCAAGGTAAGAGTCTATAAAAGTTATTTGAGATGGCAAGAGTAATATTTATTTGTCGAAAAAGAAAAACTGAATAAATAATGATAGTATGATTGATTAATCACAGAGGAAGGAGAAAAGAACACGCCATTGATTTAGAACGACAACAAATATATACTTTTGCTTTATTTACTTTTTTTTATGGTGTAAAGCTATTTGTTGACACATACTTCGAAATTGCTATTTTGCATTGCGAGACGGTAAAGATTAGATAATCGTTTGGCTTTTATATTTTTACTTAAGCGTTGTAAATTCATAGATGAGAAATCTTTGTTCGAGACAATGACGATGCTCAAATATTAATGAGAGCTCTTATTCCCTTGAGTATAGGAAATTTCATGGGATTTGTAATATAATAAGGATTGATTTTCAATGAGTGTCAAACTCGATTTGCAGAACAAAAGCTCATCGTGATATTTTTCATCGTGTAAAAATATAATGTTTAGCTGAAAAATCTGCAAATGAACTTTATCATATGAAACAGAAACTAATGTTAAACAACAGCGAATCTACTTAAATTAAATAAATATACGATTATCTATAGTATAGAATTTTATTTTCATCGGAAAAAAATATTGCTATTTATCGTCCGAGTTATTTGATGCATTTGTTTTTAGGTCATATCTACTCAATATATACTTGGGACGCGTGCAATTTCGTCTCAGCTAGTCAAGATGGTACATCACGCATATGGGATATACGTCAACCTGAGTGTGTTAATGTTATCGCAGCTCGTCCATCGAGTATGAAACAAAAAATATGTTGCTATTTCTACTATATAGTTTTATTTAATAGACAGTCCAGTAGCATCGGTTGCTGTTGATAGTTCTGGACAATTGTTAGCAGCTGGCTATGAAGATTCATCATGTTTACTTTATGATCTTCGTGGAAAACGTGTTGTACAATCTTATCAGCCACATACAAATGAAATTCGTAGTGTTCGATTTTCTATACATTCTTATTATTTACTAACGGCTTCATATGATAAAAAAGTTATCATGACAAGTTTAAATGGTAGTATTATCTAAAATCGAAATTTTTTAATTTTGTCGATATTTTTTGTTTAGGTGATCTTACTAAACCACTTGTTTTATCTACTGTTGCTGCACACAATGATAAAATAATTCAAGCACGATGGTAAAAATATTCTCTTAGGATTTTGATAGAGATTTATTTCAATTGAACATTTCTAGGCATCCACATGAAATGTCATTCATAACGACAAGTGCTGATCGAACATGTATTGTTTGGGCTCCACCACTTTCAGCTTTATCAATTCTCGCCCAAACACCATGACCAAATACAGTTGAATTCTTTTTCTTTTCTTTTGTTTGCTTTTATCTCGCTCGCTTTTTAGTATTTTGTTGTTTTGCTCTTGTAATTTAATTTGAATAAGACCAAATATTCATTATTTATTTAAAAAACAAAAATGCCTAATAATCATTTTTTTCGCTTCATAGTATTAGTTCGTGTAAACAAAAGAAAATAATTCGCAAATGTGCTGATATATAATTAAATCTATTTGTTTTTTATCCAATTAGTGTATATTTTTTTCTCTCTCGTGTTCTTTTCAAATAAGATAAATATAATGCTTATTATTTGATTGTATTATTTTATTATATAATAAACATAATAATTCGATTACCTAAGATTAAAAAATTTAATCAGACTTCATGTTTTTTTTGTTTTAAAATACTAATACCATTTCGTCTATCATTTTATTACCAATCGGAAGATGCATTTTTCACAAAGATTTCAGTTAGATAGCATGAGCATTCTCTTGGTTGCTACATTCTTTATATCCATCGTAGACTTCGGTTTTCTCAAAACTCATGTAAGAACCGATTGTATGTTTGAAAGTTCAATTTCAGATGCCACTTGCATTTTATTATGATTTCATGTCACAGCCCTGTCGGGCTGTATATATTTTTCTTAAAATGACTGGTATACCGTATCAAGCAAAATCAATTGCATTACGAAAACTTGATCATTTCAAAGATGATTTCGCTAAAATAAATCCATTTAAGAAAGTGCCAGTTATTGATGACTTTGGCTTTGTTCTTACTGAAAGGTAGATTTTCGAATAAGACGATCATTGAAAAAAGAGAACATGTTTTTTTATCAAATATTTTTCTAGTGTTCCAATTTTACAATATCTTGCTGATAAGCATAAAAAACATGATTGGTATCCTACAGATTTACACAAACGAGCACGCGTAAATGAATACACCAGTTGGCAACATTTAAATTTACGTTTAAATGGATCGATGCTTTTCCAAACGAAAGTAAAAATATTCAAATGATTGATGATAGAGAAACTTGTAGAATATTTTCTTTAAGGTCATTATACCAGTAGCACGAAATAAACCGGCCAGTCAAACTGATTTAGAAAAATTTCATAAAAGATGGGAAGAAGCGACTGGAGGTCTTGAAAATGTTTGGCTTCATCGATCATCGTATTTAGCTGGCGATCATATTACTATTGCTGATTTACTTGGTAAATTCGTCGTTTTTTTTTTAATCAACAATATAATTAGACGTTATCTTACATAGGTGTTTGTGAAATGATGCAACCGGTATCAGCTGGCTACCATGTGGATACGGCTAAATTTCCTCGTGTTCAAGATTGGATGGAACGAGTCAAAGATCAGACTCAACCACATTTTGATGAAGCACATGCTGTTTCAATGCGTTTGAGAGAAAAAATTTTAAAAGAAGAAAAACAAAAGTTCTACTGATTGATGAACTTGTTATCCATTGATTTTTTTGCTTCGTACTACCTTGATAGATGATTTCTTTTATGCTTTGAACTTTTTGATTAATAAAATAGCACTAGCATGAAAAATAAACTGATTTCAATAAAAATGGTTCTATATGAACTGCTACTAAAGATGGTCTTTATTAACAGTGATATCATTACAAGAGGGATATACTTGATTAATACGTTCTCAACTTTCACAACAACAAAAAAATACATATATATATTTTCTACAGTCAAATAATTTGCAGTTAAAATACATGTAAAAATTATAAATGAATGATTTTGATTGCTTCTTACTTGGCAAGTTCAATGCTCAAATTCTATAATTATACAGGCCCTTTAATGATATGAATAATTTTGTATTCGTTATTTTCAACGCTTTCCTTGGTTGACACATCTTCTCTTCTCTTTTCTCTCCCTCTCTCTTTCTTTCTCTTTCGCCTTGTTTATACGATAGGCCGTCAAACGATGGACTTAATTACGATTTGATTCGTTCGATAGTTATATTTGCTACATTGAAGTATTTATATGCCCAATGTTAGAAAGAAACACAGCTATAGATGTATTAATTGCCGGCGAACATATGTCATAACGGAAAAGTTTTTCTTTTTCTTTTTTTTTGAAAAAATCTTAAAGGTTTGATTGATGACTATTAACATTAGAAAAGATTTTACATTTACATAGTCAGAATCATGTTATAGGAAGCCACTAAAAGTTGTCTTCTTCTCCTTCTAGAGTAGCAATTTCTTCGTTCTTTTATTGGAACGAATAAGAATTCTTCTGCGATCAAACCAATGAGAAATTGCTTCGTTCTGTAGGTTTCTATGAAGAAGAAGAGGAAAAAACATGATGTACATTAAAGCAAAAAGCGAAGGAGAGAGAGAGAGAGAGAGAGAGAGAGAGAGAAGGAGAAAAAAAGGTACATAGTGTGTTTGACGAGAAAGAAAAAAAGAACAAATCAAATTATCTATCGAAAAGCGATTCACACATATATAGTCAACCGAGGCTAGGACAACAAGAAATACTTGATTAATTGTTCGAACGGAAATATAATCATATATCTATTTTTCTTTTTTACATTCTCATCGTAGAAGTATTAAAAACTAATAACATATTGGTTAAAAGGAAGACGAGACAATATTTAAGTTTATATCATATATGATTTGTGGTGAGTTGTTATCATTAATTTGAGATTATTCAAAATCAATATTTTATTTTTCACTTTCAGTATGTTATTACCACCTTGTTGGACATTATCATCAAGATCTATTGAACATCCATCATCATTTCATGATATAATGTTATCAACGGCGACAACATCGAATCAACAGCAACCAAATTTTTGGTTTTCTGGTAATCCTTTACCGTCATTTTTTTCATCGCCATCAGTCAATGGAGGAGGCGCAGATAAAAATCCTTATATGCAACAAACAGCGGCGAATAAAATTCTTTTTGATACAAATCCATGTAGTTCGAATTCAACGAGTTCACCGCCGCTATCAAATGAATACCTTCTCACACGTTCAAATCAAGCGGCTGCAGCAGCATTAAATCTATCACAATTTAATTACATTCAACAAAATCATCATAATCTATCATCGAACGGTTTTTTACCGCGAGAAGATTGGTCACAAATACCAATGGCACAAACAGCAGCTTCTCCTACATGGACTAAAGGTAAGAAGCAGAAAAAAAATCTTATTTTATTGTTTTGTTTCTCTCGGTTACATCAAAATCATTTATGCCATCCTATTCTAAGAAAATGAGGTTGCTCAATACCCCATATATATATATATATATATACATTCATACATATATTCATATTCTATGTCTTAATGACTATTCAATGATTGGAAGGGATGATTTATAATATTTGTCGCCGGCACATTACATCTGCTTGAGCTCGTTTTTTATGCAATACAAAAAAATCATGACAATATATTTCCGTTTTCTTCATCAAGTGACATTTTTAGCCCCATCTATCAAGTAACATTTGAATGAATATGGACATCCTATTATTCTTTTTGACGACTGAAAACAATTTGTTATATGACCATAGAAAAAAAAAATTTTCTATTGAAAAATTCAAAATGGTACCAACAGAATATATTTTTCTTATCGTCTAGAAAAGCAAGCGTGACAAACATCGATGTATTTTTTGACACATTTCGTCGAATTTTTAGCTCTTCTCTATTAAACACCTTACATATATATTGTAATGTATATGTATAGGATACGTGCGTGCGAGTGTCTTTTTAATGAGATCAACACATATTTAATGAGCAGCAAATGACAATTTTTTTTTCTTACGAATCAGTAATATATAATATTCGTGATCGAAAGAAAAAAAACAAAAATAAGATAAATTAATTGAAAAAGAGTCCAGAAGGTGAAAGCAATGAGCCGAAACATCTTGTGAGAAACAAAATAAGAGCAAATGCAAATCATATTGTGTCATATTGAGAGAGAGACGGATAGAATAGACCGGCTTCATTCTTTGAAGATGAATTTATCTTTCAACATATCGTCAATGAGCCAGCATAGAATGAATTTAGTTGTTCGAATACATAATTTGATTTATTAAAAAATACGCTTGATTGCTTCTTCTATAAATGTGTTCGATAGAAAAATTTTAATATTATCGAAGGTAAATGATTATTACATAGCGATATAGACACCATTAAAATAAAGAAGACATGCATGACATCATTTTAATAGTAAGATGGTATGTGTGCACGCCAAATGAATAGAATAAAAGATGATGGAAAAATGTGGGATAGAAAAACGATACAGAAAATTTTCCCATTGCTATATCTAATTGATAATCATTGATATGATGATCGATTGAAAAATGATTTTGCCGCTATACCGTGAAATTGTCATCAAACACACACACACACACATATACTCAAAAGCGCATCCACTCGACAGTAAGATCGATGTTTATAAATGTGCATATGAAAGACAATGGCATCATCAATGTGTGAACGTGCACATGTCATTGTTATGACTTCGATTTTTTTTTGTTTCTATTGCTATCCCGCTCTCAAGTGTGTTTATAATATATGTATATATATACACATACGAAAGGATATTAATAAAGCGTAAATTCTAATAGCGTCGTCGTTGCCGTCGGTTTTTTTTCTTTTTATAGTAAACAAATAATTTTTGATTGATCAATTTAGGTGCTCCAATTGATCATTCTCAAGCAGCACATTATTCTGATATAGTTAATGGTAATGAATCAATAAAAGATGCTAGACGTAAAAGTAGTCGACCAACATTTACTGGCCATCAAATATTCGCATTAGAAAAAATGTTTGAAAATACAAAATATTTAGCTGGAACCGAACGATCACGGCTTGCTTCTCAATTAGCTATGAGCGAAGCCCAAGTTAAAGTAAGAAAAAAATTTCTATTTGCAAAAAAATGAATTTTTTCGCTTTTTTTCTTGTTCAAAAGGTCTGGTTTCAAAATAGGTATGAAGTTTTTTTAAATTGTTGAATTCATTTTTTATTCGAGTGACTATTTACTAGACGTACAAAATGGCGAAAAAAGCATGCTCCTGAAGTTCACGGTGGGCCTGGCGGTAAAAGAACTAAACAACGAAATGATGGGTCAATTCCTACTGTGGAATCGGATTCGAGTTTAACTTAAATTTTGTCTCGTTCTTTTTTTTAGTGTTTGAGCTATATGTGAAAAAATTCTGTACATTCTTTCTCATTCGCGAAATTCAATTTGTTTTCTTTTTCTCTTCTTCTGTAATGTGCTTGTTTTATACCATCACCGGAATATGCCTATGAAATATATCAATCGGAGATATTAGAAATTATATCAAAAGATGAATGAATAAATAGTGTGTATTTTTTTTAAATGGGTGAATGAAAAGAAAGAAATTCAAAAACTAAATTTGACATAAAAACTTACCACTAGTTCATACTTAAACATAAGCATCAACGGATTACAATGAATGTATAGTAATATCGGTATTGTTTTTCTATTGATGTTGAAGCTTTTAACTCTACAACAATGTAACAAAAGAAATTTCGGTCGTTATATTACCACATAGCTATGTATTGTAATCGATCAGAATTTGTAATGACTATGGCTGTGCTAATCGCTATACAAACAACAATAGCTCACCAGCGAGCCGAAATGGTATAAAGACTAGCTTCGAAAAAATATTATATTTACAGTTTCTTTCAAATAGCAACATATTAAATTCTTATTTTATTTTTGTACTAAATATTTTAGATGGTTACAATAAAATGTATTCTTTTTTCAAACCAGAGATTCAATCATATTACTACACATTGAGATTTTATTCATTTTTTATTGACGATTCAAATCTTTTTCGAGCTTCGTTTAATCGTACAATTTTTTCCGAGTCCGATAATACAGGCATTGATCTCTTATTGAGAATAATCGTTATAATACTAAGTAATATTTCGACGGTAATTAGTGCAAGACCAATAGATGAGAGTATAATTTCTGCACGCTGAGCATAGGATTGTAAAACAAGAAAGAAGATAAAGCCAATGATAGAGAAAAATCCATACAAAATGAAGATAATTAAAAACGAGTTATCCAATCTTAAATTTCCTTTCATACCGAAAAAGTGCCGGATATATTCATTTAGACATAACATAAATATAATTGCCATTTCTGTACCAAATGCATTCGTAGCATAAGGTAAATTATAATATTTAAAAATATAAAGAAGAATTTCAAGAATAAACCAAAGAATTGTATAATGAATGTTCACACGTAAAAGAATTTGTAGAGCAGTACTGGATGGATCGGTAACAGTGAGAAACATATTTTTCTTATTTCTGAAATATAATTAAATTCATTTACAAATACTATTAAAAATGAAGTACACAAAATAAACTAACAAACAGGTTAGAATTCTTCATGATTAAATATTCAACATAGAATTTCATAGGCTTTCCAAATCAATAAAACGTCGAAGAAAGATGAGTATTTATAATGTATGCTACTATTTATTAATACTTGGTTTGCTAGAGAACGATGAGCTGCTGGTCATGAGTATATAATTTTGTTGCATTTGATTTGGGTCATTTTTTTTGCGCTGTAAAATTCTCAAGAAAGTGACGCAGTTCAATGTTGAATTCTATATTAATTTCAATAAAACAAAATAAAAGACTGAACTATTGGGCATGTATCTAACCTTATTGTGGTTTCACTAATGAGACTGAATGGAATAAATTGATTAAACAGTATTTTATTTGTAAGTAAATCGAACTCAAGCTGAATATAAATAAACAAATAATAAAATCCACTCGATTTTTTGGATTGCCAAGATAATAAATGATCTCGTGTTCTAAACCAATTGAAAAACCTTGAGAATTTCTCTAGTGAAATTTCTATGCTGTATCTACATAAATCACCTATTCGCTTTATGTTTCGAGTGTCAGAACACAAGTGGCTTCTCTTATTCTTATACAGGGAAGATTAACAAAAAGTATTGATTTGAAAATTCGTTCAAAAATAAAACTTCCTTTTTTTCCGTTCAAAATCGGCTTACTTGTCCTACGGTTTCCTTTCTATCTGAATAAAAATCTGAAAAATGAGACAAAGTTTTAAAACAAACGAATATCACTAAAGAAATAGGCCTACCATTATAACCTGTATCTCTGCGGTAACGCCTCTCTTTTTTGTAGAAGCATATACGAACGCCATCTGTGATGTTCCAAATTTATTTATTTCTCTATTTCCTTCTTTATAGTCTCATGATGTTCGGCGTATCAGAATGGAAATAATAATAATCAGCACAGACATTGAAGTGTATTGCAGTATAAGTTGACATACTGCTTGTTTCTGAAAAGATCATACCATGACAAAGATGCAATTAGAAAGCAAACGATCGTGTACAGGTTTTAAACCGTTTGTTTTCAATGTTTTTTTTGAGGCGTACTTGTTTTTTTCTCGTAGAATTTAATTTTAAATTTTCATTTAACTAGTAATTGAATGTTGGGGAAGACTTTTCTCCTGATTTAATATGTAAAATGGCTCTCGTAAGTAAATGTGCGCACGAATTTCTAGTCGATGATGCTGATTTGCTCACTGTTCTTGCTAAATACTAAAATAAGTCAACAACAATTTCCTTGCTCCATCTGATTTTTATGGATACATGAGGTGGAAAAATCAAGCTTTTAGTTTCTTTCACATCGGGAAAATGATTTCGATAATTTATGTAGAATTTTGATTTATGTGCTTGCATGCTATTAGATTCTTCTTCTTACAATGCTCAGAAATGATTTTTGCTTTATTGAAATCGCATTCCAGATTTCAGAAAACATTCTATCATCTTCAGCGATGAATAAGCTTGGTTTATTTATCTCACGTCGCAGTTATGGAACAGCAGCAACATTCCGTGCTGCTGATACAATAGTTAAAAAAACTCAACATGGAAACCGTAAACCAGATTCGGATAAACTTGTTTTTGGTGCAAATTTTTCCGATCATATGTTAACAATTAAACATACAACAGCATCGGGCTGGGAAAAACCGGTTATTGAACCATTAAAATCACTAGAGATTCATCCAGGTGCAAAAGCTTTACATTATGCAACAGAAGTAAGCTTTCTTCTTGTTTTTTTCTGGTTCAAAAACGTTTTTATTATTTTTCGAAAGATTTTCGAAGGTCTGAAAGCTTACAGAGGCAATGATGGAAAGATACGTCTTTTTCGACCTGATTTAAATATGCGTCGAATGCTCACATCAGCTGAACGAAGTGTTTTACCAGTATGAATTCCTATAAATATAGACACAGACACACCTGAGAGTGTCATATTTATATATTTGTAGACATTCGATGGACAGGAATTATTAGAATGTATAAAAAAACTAGTTCATCTTGATGCTGACTGGGTACCGCAATCAACTTCAAGTACACTTTATATCCGACCAACTTTAATTGGAACTGAGGTATATTTTTTTCTCAAAGCGTTTTCATCAAATTTTAAATAAAACATTCTCGAATTCTTATTTAGCCAACATTAGGCGTTTCTGCTCCAAATGAATCGTTATTGTTTGTTGTTACTGGTCCAGTAGGTCCCTACTTTCCAACTGGTTTCAAACCTATTTCATTACTGGCAGATACTTTTCATTGTCGCGCATTTCCAGGTGGCATGGGTGCTTATAAAGCCGGCTCGTAGGAATTGAATTGAATTGTGTTTTGTTTTTTCTTGCAACAAATCGATATTATATTATAGAAATTATGGACCAACGATTTATGTGAATAAAATGGCAAACGCTCAAGGATGCCAACAAGTCTTGTGGCTTTATGGAGAAAAAAAACTTGTGACAGAAGTGGGCACAATGAATGTATTTATGTATTTAAAAAATAAAAAAGGAGGTAATGAATTAATAACACCACCCTTAAATGGACTTATTTTACCTGGTGTTACACGTCAAAGTGTTCTTGATCTTGCACGTACATGGGTAAATATAGATAAAGCTAGGAATTCTATTTGAAATGTTTTTTTTTTTTAAATTTTAGACAGATTTAACTGTTTCCGAACGAGAAATAACTATGGATGAACTTATGGAAGCACATCAAGAGAATCGAGTATGATTGTAGAAAGTAAATCAATTAATTTATGAGTTTCCATTGATTATTTTTAGCTTATGGAAATGTTCGGTGCTGGTACAGCATGTATTGTTTGTCCTATTGAACGTATTGTTTACAATGGAAAATCACATAACTTGGCAACAATGAATAACGGTTCATTTTAAAATATTTTATATTAGTAATTATTTCATACGATTTATTGTTTATCTAGGGGCTCCATTAACGGTTCGATTTCACGATACTCTTGTCGATATTCAAGTAGAAATGAATCTATGCTGATTTTTTCTTAATTCGAATATTCATTTTTCTAAATTTTAGTTTGGTCGAAAACCAAGTACATGGACCGTTGAAGTTGCTTAAAACTTTCAATCTTCATTTTATAAAGATTTTAATCTCGATCTATATGGTCATAGAATCTCAAATAAAGTCCTGACAGCTGCTTTTTTTCCTCACACAAATGAACATTGAAAACATTCCTTTTTCTTTTGGTTTTTCTTTCTTTTTGCCACAGTATTTGATGAAATAAAACAGCAGAAAATGATCATTGCATATGTTGTTCGATAGTTTTGATTTGTTCATTCCAGATCATTATGCATTTATTATTTCTCTTGGCTAGCCTTTATTTGCAAAATGTTTTCGTATTTTGTTCACAACCAAAGCGTGTTGTCGATCAAATGTATATATCATTTGATCATGCGCGTTATTGTGTTCGCCGTCTCAATGGTACACATGAAATTGGTTGTCAATCAGCGATACGAGGCAATTCTGGTCGAATGTTTATGATTGATAATGATGAAGAATTTAATTCTTATCTTAATGATAATAAAACTATGAACTCATTTAATGCATTTATTATTGTACTTAATGTAAATTTATTTGATTCGAATCATATTGATCGTTTAATGAAACGTCTCGATACAAAATTAAATGGCCTTTTACTTTATTTAAAATCAAAATCAGCTCGTCCATTAGATTTTTCACCAGATGATCAATGTCCAAATCATCGTAATTCATTTTATTTAAATCAAACAACTGAAACGATCAATTGGAATCGGCATGGAACCGGTTTATTTTTTCGTTCATTTCCATTTCCAATAATGTTAATCGAGGGAGAAGATGATTATCAACGTTTATTAAGATTCTATCAACAATTTAATAATAGTCAATCAACACCTGCTTGTGGTTTGGAATTGAAAACATTTCAAAGTGCAGCACATACAACGAAAACATGTATGAGAAGAAATGATATATCACATTCAATAATCGATTTTCAAGAAACATTTTGTGATCCCATTGGAGGTTTAAATATTTATAGTAAATTACCTCAATCTATTACAATTGTGCCTGATCAACGTCCTTTGAAATCAGTGATTCTTATTTTAGCGTCTACAGATAGTTTTCAAATGTTTCTAGAAACGAAAAGACCCACAGGTGGTAGTCAACAACCAGCTACAGCGTTGATTACATTTCTTGCATTAGCACATCTTATCGGACAAGAACAAGATGAATTAAAAAAGCAAAACAAAGAAATTATATTTGTTACACTCGATGGTGATGCGATGGATTATTCAGCTTCGTATAAATTTATGTTTGATATGAAAAATGGAGATTTTCCATTGGGTAATAAAAATGAACAACCGATTGAAACAAAACATATTCATTCAATTATTGAATTTCAATCATTGAGTATGAATTCTGAACTTTGGGTAAGTGAAATGTATACACATAGTTTTTGAGATTTTAAAACTTTTTCTTTAATTTTAGCTTCATTCATATCCATCAAAATTAATAGATCAAAAATTTATTGATTCTCTGATTAAAAATAATCGAAAAATAAATAAAATTCCAATTGGTACTCCTTTACCACCAGCATCGTCACAAATTTTTCTTCAACAAACATCTTCATCGTTTCCTGCCTATATATTAGCATCAATAAATCAAAGTCAAATATTGAATCATTACTATCATTCATTTTTTGATGATTCTTCAACATTATCAATTAATATATCTACATTAGAATACAATACGACGACTCAAGTTAGTCAATGGATAAAACAAATCGTGGAACCATTTGCGCAAACATTAATTGAATGGTTAGTTGATGTCAATAAAACTGTTCATATCAAACAAGAAATCATTAATAATCTTGTTTATTGTATTTTAAAAAATATGAATTGCCCATTGATTCATAATGTTACAAATCAATCCGTTGGCAATACATTTCAACCATTCGATCAAACATCAATGCCATTTTCAATAAATACCTATCCAACATCAATAACACCAACATTTCCATTTATACAATATGTACTAGGCTACTTTTTACGTGATCGTTCATTTGATTTGCAAAATTTAACTGAAACATCGTGTAAAAAGCGTGCTGACAACGATAGTTTTTGTTCATATACATTTGTTGATGGATATCTACCGTCAAGGAATAGTAACAACACATTGTCTAGTGGCTATTGTGTTCGATCATATTTACGATCTGTGCAATCAATCTCACCTGCATTTATTATTCCAAATTATGATCTATCAAAAACAGAATATCCAACATGGACTGAAAGTCGATGGACAACAATTAGTTTACGACTTTTTCTCATTCCAACAAGAACTCATGAAATAGTTACATTTATTATTGGCATGATGCTAACTGTAATCTCATTTTTTTTCCTTTGTTTCTTACGTTATTATACAAAGGTTAGCCTTTTACAACCTTCATCGTCATGAATGATTGATTATCGGTGTATTTAATGTCGCATAATTGTTTTATTGTAATGTCTGTTTCAAAAGCTGTTTCGCTCTTTTCTTTTCCATAATCAAAAAATAGGCTAATGTTCTCCTACTCATGATGTGCAATCGTTATAAATAAAAATTTAATAATGTTTACATTCAAAACTAGCGCATTTTGAATTATATAAATCTGCTCTTACATTTAAAGAATATATAATTACAAAACAGTTGAGCAACCAATATAGAAAAACAGCGATATGTTTATTATCACATTTGTTGACACCTAGTTAATCTAATGATGGGTGATGATGATCGTATAAGAACGATTTGTCATATTGAAATGCCGAATATTATTTTGATTATCATGTTCAGTGTAGTCGAGATTTTTTTGCCGGCGCCCATTTCATTTTGCAAACTGATAGTTATCCGAAATTTTCTGATGCTATGTAAAATGACTCATAACTACGTTTTTTTATAATTATCATTAAACCGAAACATTTTTTTCTTAGACATTTACATTCCACTTGATAAAAATGTAAGAGCAAATAAATTTTCGAAAAAATTAAAAAAACAATTCGAACAAGTCACATTTCATTGGTTCTGTTTCCATTCATATAAATTATGTAGGCAAATAAGTCGAGAAAATATGTTTAGATTGAATAGGAGACTTATTTGTCTTATAATAGAATACCAGGTGTTAACTTAGCCAATATGTACACTACCGAAGCAAGGATTAGAAGCATGTTTTTATTTATTGATTTGGTTAATCATAATTTGCATTAATTACAATGCGCGCTGTAAAAATGTTATTGGTCTTTATCATTATTGTTATTTAAAATTAGATAGTGAGAAACTACTTAATTGGAAAAAATGTTGGTAACTCCCTATGGTCATTCCGCATGGGAGATAAAAATTTTGAAATATTCGACATAATTATTCATTGCTTATGAATTCTAGATCAAAACGTACTGAAACAGAGAATTTCATCACAAAATATGGATGTGAGTGTGGGCATTGCCGTTGCCGTTCAGAACACCCATACCCATATACCAAATCCTCACACTTACCCTTCCTTACTAAATATATTTTTGTTGCTTCATTTTATTAAGCCTACTTGTCAATAGGTGCAGTTTTTGTTTTATCTCTACTTTTTCGTTTAAAGATCTTGAAACTAATAAGAAAAAGATAGAAACCAGCGCTACTGGTGATGTCGCAACAATGAACGCTGCTTTGACCTGCCAGGGATGGACTTGCATTTAAAGGCGTACTTATTGGAATGGAATATTTATCAATTGATCGTGATGAAAAAATGTGTCTCGATTCAATGTTTAAATTAAAAGCTTGCGTACGTGCTCGTGGTGAACATAAGCAAAAAATTAAATTAAATTTAACCATGGGTGGCATTAAACTGATTGATGATAATACAAAAGTACTTCAAAAACAACACATTTTTGTTTTTATTTTTGTTTAAAATCATCTTTTTGATATTTTAGACACACATAGCTACGCATGAAACTGAAAGTATATCATTTGCTGTTATCGATCCACGTGATACGCGTTCATTTGGATATATTTATAAAGCATCTGATGAATCTCTTCAATTCTGGGCTATTAAAACTGAACGAGCAGCTGCTGTAATTGTACTTGCAATAAAAGAAGTTTTTGAATTGGCTTTTGAACAATTTACAAATGATGAAAAAGCGAAAACACCTACTAAATCAACAGTAGTGCCATCTTCATCAGTATCCTATCCGAAGCAGGCTCTTCAAATGCAGGTAAAAGTCAAAAATCATTAATTTTATTTCTTAAAAATATTTTTAGGCACCACCACAAACTGCTCCTGTGACATCAACTACAATACAAAATGTTCCTGTTTCTATGACATCACCAGCACCGGTACAGTCATTGAATTCAACACTTGCTCCTGCCGGGGTGTGTGGCATGAGAGTGGATTGGGTGTAACAGGAGCCACCCTCACTACATAACCACACCATACCTTTGCTAGGATTCTGCCTGAAACAATAGTTTGCGATAGAACCGTTCAGATTCATCACTGGGAGGCAAAGCTAGTGAAATATCAAAATGATTGGACGAAAATTTTGTAATAAACCCCACTACAACAAGTTGAATCAATGTCAATCCTCTTCTGATATAATTATTCTACTGGGCAATCGAGATTACTGTAAGATATAAGGCACACATCTTTCTAAATCAGCATTTAAGAAAAAACATCTAAGAAATCATTGCTTATGCATGGAATGGTCAGCCCTTTGTCTAAAGCCGCACAGTAATCCACCATTTTGCATAAAATCAAAAACACTGGCTTAAACCTCAAATTAATATGTTCGCTGGATGAAAGCATTGCAAAATATGTTGCTATGCGCAAAATTATAAACCGTTATGGATACACACTAAAAAAAATTGGTTTCCTAGTAACCCACAAGAAAAGGGTTTCAGAAGCTAGGAGATCCGTCTTTTGTCAATTTTCCCAATAAAATCAAGATTAATCAAACAATGATACCGTTTTGATGAAATAGGTAGATGACATCAGACTGCTTATCATAGGGCCTCCTCAAACTCATTTTCTTTATATTTCTTGCTCTACAAAAAGAGCTAAATAGCTTGAGCATAGTGGCTGATAGAGCTACTAATATAGCATGACAACAAGATGAATGATATGATGTGATTTCCCATAATGTTATCCACAGTGAACAGTTAAGTAAAAGTCACTGATTAATCACCGGGTAAATGCGATTTCGAGGCCATGAGTTACAAAGAGTTAGATTTTTTTCACAGACTAAGAACAGTGGATTACTTTTCTTGAATTTCAAATTAATAAATCCTTTTTATTTTCATATGCCTTTGCTTTCATGAATCCGTCAGCGCTTTGACTCGTTCAGGGTTTAGGCTAGAGCCCTGCGAAGTTAAGTTTTTTCGATTCCGACTGTTCCAGAGTCGGAATCCGGTTTCAGAGTACCGTGCAGGGTTCTAGTTTAGGCGATTGTAATAAACCAATTAAGGGGTTGCGAAAAGTTGAAGAGAGGACAAAAGTTTCATATTCAACGCTTTTTGACCGTGTAGCTGCTCAGTAAAAAGACACAAGCAAGCACATCCACACTCAGCCCTCTCTCCCTCCCACATATCCCTACATGCGCAGTCATATCTGATCCTTCGCACCTTCAATATTCTTATGTCACCAGTTTAAATAAGAACGTTGTTCTGTATTATTTCAAAATTTATGTTAAGATCATCTAGAGAAGGCAGTACACTCAAAAGAGAGAAGGTTTTTTAGCGTGTAGTAAGCTATATTTTCTACTGGCTATTACAATGGCAAGCATAGAATCAAAAAATAGGAACTTTGCTAGTCTGTGAAAGCACTTTCATTTGCACTGATTACTGTTGTTTAGCTAACACCTCTGATGACCTGAATAATACCAAAAGCATACCGTCCTTTACTTTAAAGAATACTGCGGCCGAGAAAACAAGCATTTCAAAACTTAACATAAGTTTCCTAGAGACTATGCAAAAATATTCTAGATGATGCTCTTGATTATAGTTATCAACAAACGATACGAATTCTCCTAAATTGATAAATGTACGTAAATGTGATTTAACAACGGAGCAAGTAAGTTTATATGCTTCCAAAATCTTCAAAACTGGCTGTCGTTTTATTGTTTTCAGTCCAATGTTATTGTCGTATATTCTTCATCACAGTATTTGCTCGATAATATTCTGAAAGTCGGTGGAGATACCGTAAAGATGTCGTACGATAATGAGTCAAAACAAAATTCATCAGCACTTACAGCTGTTGTAGCTGGTGGGCGACTCTGATCGAAAAAAGTATACTTTCTTCCATGGCGTCCGAATACGGACGAAACCTTACTTTGTGCATCGCTGGAGAAATTCGTCTCAGACGCAAGTGAAAAGGCAACAGCTGAAAATTATCAAAGCATTGCGTTTCCAGCTATTGGCTGTTCGACCAGTCTTGTTGCTAAAACTTTGGTTGGCGAAGCATTTCGTCTAGTAGCCAAGAACGCAATTAACGTTTCGTTTATAGTACAACCAGGCAAAGAGAGTATTTTTCATGAGTTTCAGCAACAAAGAAATTTACTGAGGCAATTAGAGAAACCTTCAGAAATACCAACGATGTCTATATCGATTGGAAAAGGAATGCTTTTAGTTGAAAAGGGAAATATAACAACGCAGAAAGTGTAAATTGAAAAATAGTTCACAGGATAGATTTTTTGCTTTTTATTGTATTACTCTTATAGGTTGATGCTATTGTTGGAAGTTCATCATCAGAAATCTTATAGCAGGCCATAATCGAAGCCGCTGGTCCTGAAGTAAAAGCGGCATATGAAACCGAATATAAAAATTATCCGAATGCGATCCTGATTTCAACGATACCTGGAAAATTACCTTGTAAACGAATTTTTTTCTTAAATGGCAACCAAATCCGGATGCCTCTAAACTTCGACAATCGATTGCATTTCCAGCGATTGAATGTGGGAAACATGGTTGCTCCGTAGATATCATAGTCAAAACGATGGTCCAGGAAATTAAAAAAACAGCTTGAAATGAGAGATTTCTCGCTGACAGTCAAGTTTATTATTCAGCCTGAGCAACAAAGTATTTATGATGAGTTTTGCAAGTAAGTACTTACATCAGAGGAAGGTATGAGTCCGGGTACTCATCTTATAATAGCATTTCATATCGTTTCATTAATACGCGAGCTGCGATGAAAGGAATTTAAATAACACTTTGGACGTATGACCGGAGGATTTCAGTTCTCTCTAACGATGTTGATTGCATCAAATACTGAAAATTCAACTGTGAGACAAAATGATGAACAGAACTAACTAAATGAGTCGGATTGCATAATCGGATAGTTGCACGCAAACGAATTTTTTTAGGCCAGGACGAAGCATTGTGTCAAATGCGTTTTTTTTTATATGAGTGTTTGTAACGAAATTTCCTCGAATAATGACGTCCTTTTGCAGCACAAGGAAAATCATTTGAACTTAAACTACCAACAACATGGGTGCAGTCGAAAGATAATCGAGTAAGATTTGTAGTATCGAAAAATACAGATGAATATCACTCTGTTGTGATCAACTTCGATAAAACAATGAAAGGAAAATATACTCAAATAATACAAATCGAACGCATTCAGAATGAACAATGGTTTATGTAATATTTAGCACACAGTGAAGATTTCAAAAAAAGACTAAACAGCGATACTGAAAAGCGCTTATACCATGGTTGCCCTCAAGACGCAGCAAATTTAATTATTGAGGATTGCTTTAATAGAAGTTTCGCTGGAGTGAGCGGCAAGTCTTTTCTTTTTTAATGCTTTTTCTTGAATATATTCGTACATAGGGACTGCATATGGTGTTGGTGTTTATTTTTCATCAAATGCAGCTTATAGTCACAAGTACACAACATCGAATTCGAATGGAGAACGATGTATGTTCATATCACGCGTTTTGATTGGAAAAACGATAAAAGGCGATAGCTCGATGAAAACACGACCTTTGGGCTTCGATTCAACAACGGATGGCAATCATATTTTTGTTACCTATCATGATGCACAAAGCATTGCTGAATATTTAATTACATATAAATAGGGCACAACGGCCACTGTTTGATGTGAAAAAAACTGTTCTTGATTCCTTCAATTCGTATTTGAATAATAACCTCATTGATTGTTGTTATTTAGAAACATAATGAGGTTCTCAGCTTTTGTTTTCGTGAAAATTCGGAAGCAAATGGCATTTTGTAAGTTTTTCAACTTGAAGTCAAGTTTTCTTTTGTTTAAAAAATAGTGCTGCCTATTGAATTAAATATCCATGTTTCCTTGTACATACTGCTCTCGTTCATTTAGAATGATATACGTGTCTGATCTGTTGTCCTAGACATGCCTCTATAAATCAATGTCAATGTCTAATGACTCATAAAGTTGATCTAGTCGGTTGCCAAAAGTGTTGCTACCTGTGAGAAAAATTGTGCTGGCGACACTGATTGGATTTGAGCGTGGGTATTAGTCTTCGCTCAACACTAAGCCATAACCACACTCACACCCTCAAGATTATTTTATTCCGTTGATAGCATTAGAATAGTACAATTGTAAAGATCTTTCGTATTTTACGATGTGATTATTGATGATGGAGTCGATATTAATGTTGCCATATGAATTAATTTTAAAACAGCTGAACACTACATTCATTGGAGACAATTATTTTTGTGAAACACGATCTGAAAGGAGTGTTGATGTACATAGGGTAGAAATTTGGACCCC